TTTCCCAAGGAATGACAAAAGCCCAAGGGGAAATGGGGCTTGTTTATCCTGCTGCCTCACCATCTTGGGCATACAACATTCCCCAAAGAAAACCACAGGGACAGCCACAGGGAACAGTTATTTCTATGACCAAGTATTTAGATTGACCAAAGTCCAGCCTGGACACCACCACCCCCACCCCAACATGGAGATGCAGGGTGCGGGCCAAAGGAGGGGATTAGTGACCCCTGAGGGATGCAAACAATCAACATCCACATCTATCTTTTCATCTGAAAAATGGTCAGACTCATGCCTTCCCTTAGCTGAGGGGAAAGATATAGCGGATTGTAGGCATGGAAGCACCTTGCAAAGGCCCCGCTCAATTCAGGCACGTGGGACGTGCACAGTACTCCACAGACTGGGGACTAGAGAAGGGAAGGAGCTTTTGCAGGACTACTAGGAGCCTTTGTTTCCCTGGAACCACTCAGAGCTCCTGTCCCGGAGGCCTGGGCGTGGAGAGGGCACGCCAAAGAGAAGGCAGCCAGCCTATCTCCCACTCTGCCCTCTGCCTCCCTCTCTCCTAGCACAGGTGTCACCCTTGAGCAGATTAGCAAAAGACCAGGGCTCTCTCTCTTCCAGACACTGCCATCTTCTGGAAACTGCTGTGATTAATATGCCAACCTGCTGGCTACAACGGAAATGGCGACTTCTACAGTTGTGCAGTCCACCATCCATACAGACCTCCATGGTGACCCTTCCTCTAAGATGCCGGGAGCCTCTTACCTCCTCAGTCAGCAGCTCTAGGGGCACAGGGCAGGCCACAGGGTAAGGTGGGAAGGGCTCAGACCAGCCAGTGATAGTGCAATCCCGCTTCACAGCCCCTGCAAGGCATGCCGAGGTGAAAACAGAAATTGGGTTAAAACTCCTACTCTCTCTCCAGGACAGGGGGAGGAGTCATGGATCATCCGGTGACCCTGGCACGGTCTGGAAACAGCTCCTCCGAATGGCAGAGAGAGGGTAGCCTTCCCTCCAGGGGCCTGGATTCCAGGTCCAGCCCTTCCAGACTCCCCCCACTGGGCAGCTGGTAGCATCTTAGCAGTCAGACAGGCTCCACTGCTCCCCTCCACCCCCACGGCCAGCCCTCCTGCTAAGATCCAGAGAACGTTTACTCGGGGTCTGGCTCTGGGTCCAGCACTTCCATGCCGTGCTCACCAATCCTTACCCCTCATGAGGTTAATGTTCTTGTTTTCCCCAGGTCACAGGTCAGAAGCTGAGGGTCAGGAGGTTGACTGACTTGCCCAAGGTCACACGGGAAGAAGGGAAATGGTGTTCAAATCCAGATTTACTATGCCCAAAGCCAGGGATGAGCCTGCCATATTCTGGCACCATCAGATGAAACCACCTCGAATCCCCCCGCCTCACCACCATGCCCAGAACCCTCACCTGGCTCTGAGCTGAAGTGAGAGAAGAAATCTGGGCAGGGGAGAGTCACCCACTCGCCAGAGCCTACCATTGGCCAGCACAGCAGTCCATCCCAGGTCCTAGGGCAGCCTAGATAGATGGGAGCAGAGCAGACTCAGGGGACAGACCCATCCAGCATTCAGAATGATGAGGCTGGAGGAGATAAAGGAGTCTAAGAAGCCACCCCCTCCCTCCCAAGCACCCTACCCAGAGTGGTGTTGGGCACCCCTTCTGCTGCTTGTAGACACAACCTCTCATCCTTTCTCAACTGGGTGATGAAGTCACACTCTGGGTGCACGTGGCCCAATACCTGTAGGAAGGAGTTAATGGGGTAGGCCAAGCCAATTAGGTGCTCCTTTTGGTTCTCTGGTGCAAATGACCTTAGGACAGAGACAAAGCCTGATTCATTTCTGTGCCCCTGCTCCTAAGCCAGGGCCTGGCTCATGGCACTTATAAGCATACTTGGTGGAGGAGGGACAGGAAGAAGAAAGGAGGGAAGTGGGGAAGGTAGTAGGGGGGACAGGGATGAGGGGAGGGAGAGAGGAAGAGAGAAAGATGGAGGTTTGGACAGATGCTTCCCAATGTCATGTCACGGAAGTAAGTTCTGAGACACACTAACCACAAGTCTTCCGAGGATCTCACGGAGCTGGCTGAGTCAGTGAGCCATGTATGTAGGGCCTTTCCTCTTTCCCTGCACTCCTTCTCCCTGACACAGTCCTGCATAAAGTACCTTGGTAGGCTGAACAATGCCTTCCATACACACAAAAATGTCTACATCTAATCCCTGAAACCTGTGAATATGCCACCTTGCACGGCCAAAGAGATTTTGCAGCTGTGATTAAGTTAAAGATCTCAAGATGGGGAGATTATGCTGGATTATCTGGGTGGACATGAGGTCCTCATAAGAGGAGGCAGGAATGTCAGAGCCAGATAAAGAGATGTGATAATGGAAGCAGAGGGGCAGGGGTAGGGAGATGAGAGAGAGTGTGCACTTTTACCATGGGGTGCACACAGATGAGAGGAAGGAGGCTCCCTCACTGCAGAAGGGAGGGCAGTAGAAGTTACCTGCATGACAAAAAAAAAAAAAAAAGGAGGGGGATGGGCAAAATAGGTAAAGGTTAGTGGGAAATTCAGGCTTCCAGTTATGGAATGAATACCACACAGGAAGGAAAGGTATAGCACAGGGAATAAAGTCAATGGGTTGTAACAGTGTTATGTGGTGACAGATGGTGAGCACAGCATAACATACACTTATGAAATCACTATGTGGTGCACCTGAAACTAAGCTAAAAACTAAGGTATCATGTGTCAACTATACTTCAATTAAAAAAAAAAAAAGTTACCATATTGCACCCAATACTCAGCCCTCGACAGATCAGATCCCAGTCAATGCGCAACAGCCCTAGAGGGAAGATATCGTCTTCTTTGTCACAGAAGAGACAAGTGAGGCTCAGGAAGGGTGAAGAACTTGCCAGGACCACACAGTTCCTTTCACCATGCCAGGATTCAAGCCCAAAGGCTGTGCACTTGGGGGCAGGTGCCACACTGTGCTTGGAAGGTGTGGGAGCCCCTGCACACACATGCTGTCACACGTGCACACACACACACACACACACACACACACACACAAGCCAGTGGAGGAAAAAGGAGACCTCAGCCCACGTGGGCTGAGCTTCCCACCCAGTACCTTGTATGTCCTGTCCTGGTCCCTGTGTCACTTGCAGTAACTCCTAGAAAACATGCTGGGAAATCCCAGCACATTCAGGGAGGGCCCCTGTCCCCCACCCAATTCTGTAGCATATCAGTCTGCCAAACGCTTCTCCAGCCCCGGGGCGTATCAAGAGAAGAATAGTCCCCCAGAATGTGGGAGGGGAGCAGCTGTTCTCCACATACTGTTCAGGCCCACACCCTCTTAAGAGGCAGCAGCCAAATGGGAGCGTGGCCCCTGGGATGCTGGGGAGAGGGAGAGGTCTGGAGATTCTGTGGAGGACTTCGGGATGGGTAGCTCAGAGAAGAGAGAACGTGGGGGAGGAGAGGCCCTAACTGCTTCCCTGATTGGGAGTCATGTCTTGGGCAGAGTCTTCGTGGCCCCCAGAGAGCACAGAGGGGCCTGGGGGGAAACAACAGCTCAGATGGGCCTGGGGGGAAGCTAATTCACCTCAGCCAGGTTTTCATAGAGCTACCCAGAGACAAGCAGCTGCCTGGGGAGGGAAAAGCAGGGGACGGGAGGGAGGAGCACCCATCTCAGGAGTTCTCCCAGCCACGGCCTCCACAGCCTGCTTAGTAGGAAGAAACTTGTGTGGTGGGGAAGCCAGTGGGGATCCCCACCAGGCTCCAGCTGGAGCCCCCTCCCCC